AATAATAATAATAATAATAATAATAATAATAATAATAATAATAATAACAACAACTATTATTATTGTGTTTCCAAACCTACAAAAACATTGCCTGCCAGCAATCTAAAAGGTTTCTTAAATTGTTGTTAAGAAAACAAGGAATTGTTTTCTTAAAAACAATTCCTTGGATAAAATCAAGAATCCTAGCTCTTTAAAACTTTTTTTTTAAAAAAAATATATCGATTTGTATTTTAATCTAAATAGGCTGGTATCCCATGCCTGCTACCCTTTATTCTGGAGCCAGCTTCACCCGATGATTTGTGCCATTACAAGTGTGTTGGATGCTGAGGGGAAAAGACGGGCCACAAACCCGTGTCCAAATCAGTTTGAAACATCAAACCACATTTATCAGTGTGGCTCTCCCTATCGAATCTCTTCAAAGGTAAGTGCTCAGTGTGAGCAAATTTCAACTCCTGCAATTTACATTTGTTACTTCAAATGCTGGCAATTTCTTGGTTTTTCCCAAAGTCCATCGATAGATATATTTGCACATGTAGTGAGGTTTCTTTCTAAAAATGGATTCATCACTAGGTAAGCTTATTGATTTGAAATCCTTTCTCTAAGGAAAATGTAGTAAAATCAGGGTGCATCCAGATCAAACTGTTTGCAATAATTTATATATGCAATGTACTCTTTTCTCTAAATAACGTGTCCAATCCAGAAACATAAATACGAGGGAAAATAGATGTAAAAATTAAGTATACATTTTTTTTTGTTCTCGAATTCTAGGAGGCCGATATAATGAGAGAAATCAGAGAAAATGGTCCAGTGCAAGGTAAAGGAAAGTTTGATTTAAAATAATTAATAAGCATGACATGCATAAAAGCAAACTCTTACCACAGACAATTCTTAAGAATATTAGTTGTCTGTGTTATTATTATTTTTTGGAATAACAAAAATAATACTCATTCTTCCTAAGGTTCTGCATATTCTACTGCATGACTCAGTTTCAATTTTCCTGGTATCTGCCATAGATGTTTTATTACAATCCTAAACCAAGATGTTATATACAACAAAATAGCAAAGCTTGATTTACAGTGTACCCCTCCATATGTCCCTTCAGGAGCTGGTGCCATAGGTTCATTGTTCACAACTATATCACTCCAAAACAAGGAACATGGATTAATTATGTCTAGATCTATATTTATGGGTATTAAATGTGGATGAGGAGTGTTAATCCCATCATATTCAGTGGTGGGATTCAATTTTTTTTTTTACTACCGGTTCTGTGAGCGTGGCTTGGTGGAGAGGAAGAATACTGTAAAATCTGCAGTCAGAGGTGGTACTACTCAAAATTTCCGCTACTGGTTCTCCAGAACTGATCAGAACCTGCTGAATACCACCTCTGATCACATTGGATAGGAATGGGCAATATTTGAAGAATCAGGAGTCCCAGCTCAATTTGTGTTGGAAGCAAACAATCAGCACAAGAAATAATTATCTTTTTTTTTTTTTTTGCTTCTTCTATTGGTCAGCTGGAGAAAGTGCTGACTGGTTCTTGATGTCTTCAGCATTCCGAGACCATCAGGAGTTACAAAAGATGTCAGGCAGGTTGGCTTCAAATAGCACCGGATAATTGGTGGAACAGAAATGGTGCTTTATTGCATCAAGTAACAGCTAAGAAGTCCTGTTTGGTTTTGAACTGGGCACAGGAAAACCCGCCAGTTTTTTTCAGAGGAATTTTAAATTCAGAAATTGAGGCGTAGAAATAGAAGGATGCCACCTTAGTTTGGCAAACAAGCTGATGAAAGTGGAACAATCAACCTTAGAACTCCTGAAGACATTTCATGCTTAGGCTCCTCAGAAAGGAAAGGTTTAAGAAGCGGCTTTAAAAAACAACAACAACAACTAATCCCTGAGGAGACTTCATTTGAAGCATCATGGACACCCCTGACCATTGCAGAGGTGTCCATGGAGAAAAGGAGAAAAAGAGCATTCAAAATTACTGGAGTGGAAAGTCTGCTTTACAAAGAAATGTTAGGACAGCTGAGGCTTTTTAGCTTGGAGGAAGTTGACTCAGAGGTTGAGTGATGGAGGCATATAACATCATTTGTGGCAAACACAAGCGAAGAGAGGGGCATCCATAACAATTATGTTCAAACATTGACATCTACACATGAGTCATTGTGCAAATGCCAAGGATGTACTTTCATCACAATGTCTGATGCGTGCCTATATGATCAGATTCTTTGGTGAGTGAGGAGTCTTAGAAAACGGGCTAAATACAGCTTCTGCGTGTAGCTGTTGCGTCTTCCTGCCCTCCCACGGACACCTGTGCAAATATTTTTCCTCCCTCTTCCACATGTCAGAATGTAAGTTCAAATGAAGGGAGATTCAGAAACAACAAACAGGCTTGTTCACATAGCCCACAGTTCCCTATCAGAGTGAAAGACAGATAATGGCAGCCAAGTTGGATGATTGTAAAATGGGTCTGGAAGAGTTCTTGAAGGATGAGGCAATTTACGATATCTAATGCTAATGACAATTTATATGGATTATAGGCAGCATGCCTTAAATACTGACTGGTGGGAAGGGATCTAGGGAAGGGAACTAGGTACGTTTAGCCTAATGAAGAGAAGGCTCAGGGAGACATGGTGGCTGTTTTTCTAATATCTGAAGGCAGTGGTGGGATTAAAAAATTTTTAACTACTGGTTCTGTGGTGCTTGATGGGTGTGGTGTGGCTTGGTGGACATGGCTTGGTGGACTTGGCAGGGGAAGGATACTGCAAAATCTCCATTCCCTCCCCATTCCTGGGGGAAGGTTACTGCAAAATCCATTCCCTCCCCACCCCACTAACCTGATTTCCAGCTTCATTCTCCTGTGCAGGGCAACAAAAGAAGACCCAGCCAATCAGCTGGGACTAGGGAGGCAGAGAATAGATGGAGGTGGGACCAGTCACAGGTGGTATTTGCCGGTTTTCCGAACTACTCAAAATTTCCACTACCGGTTCTCCAGAATTGGTTAGAACCTGCTGAATACCACCTCTGCCTGAATGGCTATTATGGGGAAGAGGGCATCTGTTTATCCTCTAAAGCACCTGAGGGAAGGACAAGAAGCAATGGGTAGAAGCTTGTCAGAGAGTAATCCAACCTGAAAATAAGGAGGAATTTCCTGACAGTGACAACAATCTATGGAATAGCTTGCCTCCCAGATTTGTGAGTCCTTCATCTCTGGAAATTTTCAAGAAAAGATTAAATATTCATTTATCCAGGATGGTATATGTTAAGTATGGAGAATAA